ATTTCCATATTTTAATAAAAATTATGAACTTCACTTGAGAGAATAACCTAGGAAAACAATATTATTTTTCTAGTTTATCCTCTTTTACTGAGAACTATTCTGCCCTACATACTGTGTATTAGAAAGAGTAAAGTTTCTGTTAAAAGAAAGGACCTTTTTTCTCAGTATTTAAATTTTAGTCTTTACCTACATTTGGGGAAGTAAATTGTACATGAATATAAAGGTTAAGACAAAGGAAATAAAAGTGGACAGTATGAGCCTAGCCAAATCTTTTAACTTCTCTATGTTATCTTTTTTATAAAGTGGTAATGATAACGTCCATCTCAGAGAAAGTTTTCTGAAGATTAATTAAAATATTATACTTGAAAGTATTTAAAGAACCAGGCAGCTGTTAGTTATCATAATAAATACTCCTAAGGTAAACAGTCAAGAGCAAAGTAGTTGTCAAGGTGCATGGAATTTCTGAGATAATTTTCCATTTCTCTGATGCTTAGGCAGAAAATTTTCAGCATAGACCAGGATATAGAGGATCATCAAGCTCTTCAGTCTTTTCTCCTATACTCAGCAATCAATCTAATGCTTATAAAAAGGAAAAGGATCCTACTTCACTTACAGGTATACAAATTGCATATTTATATCAAAATAAATTGAAGTTAACTGCATCCAAATTTAGTATTAAGAAACTCTTTTACCAAGGAAATGATTAAGATTTGATCAGAGCGCCTTAATATGTCATTAGCTGTGGCCAGGGATTTAGCTCAGTGGTTCTGTCGCGTGCCTCGAAAGCGCAAGGTCCCAAGTTTGATCCCCACTACCAAAAAAAAAAAGTCATCACCTAAAGACATCTAAAGATTCTATTACAGACAGTAAAGCACAGATTCCCTGGGGTCTCATGTGTGATCTTTCAAGCCCCTTTTCCGTCTCTGACCTGCCACACTGATCTTCTAACGGGCCGATCCAAGTACTGTCAGATTGGATCTATTCTGTTCTTATGCTCAAAATGGACTTTTCTACCTGACTCTTGTTCACCTTTAATAGGAGACTTTGGGTTGCTTAAAGCTTGACAATAGTTACCTCAAACAAAGATATTTGTTACTTCAAATAACAAGAAGTCTGTCAGGAAGGCAGTTCCGTCCTTGGCTAATATGGAGCCTTAACAATGTCATCAAATGTTACTTCTTCCGGCTTATCACCTGTCCTAGCAGGTAGCTTGCTCTCCTAGACTTGCTGTAGAATATGGTGACTACTATTCAAGATAACTGTGGTAACAACATCCACTGAAAAGAGAAAGCTTTTTTTAAATCTCTTTGTAATATTAAGAAAAGTCTTCCACCACTGCAGCCTTGGCTAGAGTAGCCCCAAGCATTTGTACCTAAACTAACACATTGTTATTGTCTTAGAGCAGTTTTTCCAACTTTTATAACAACTCACAGTAAGAAATACTTTTTATATCACAACTCAACGTGCATCAGGTTTCCCATTAGAAATGTAAAAGCTATAAATGTATACGGTGAAGAACAGCTAGCTGAATGGAGTCATAACTATCTCAGTGTTAGCTGAGGTTGATTGCAGTATCTTTGTGTTTTGCTGAGCTATTACTGAGGATGCATGCCTGGATTGCCATCTATAATGCTTTATTCCACTTCAGTTTTTAAAATGCTGGTCATGAACCACTAAATTGGTTCCATAAAACATAAACGAGGAGAGATCACATCTTCGAAAGTGCATGATTAGATCACTCAAGATTTGCTCCCTTGAGCTAAGAAGGACCTGGCCTCCTTCTTGGGAGTAAGATCTTAAGGATGGAGGTGAAGGATGGCTGAGGAGGCTGTCCACCGCCTGCTGTGTCTCCCTCTCCTTCTGTTCCAATGTCACACTCTGAAGTGGTGTTGCACTCAGCAAAGTGCATCCCCCTTCATAAAATTTCTCAAGTCTTTTTACAGAAGCATTTTATATAATTTAAGTAACATCAAATTTAACCTTAGCATTATATAACATCAAATTTAACATTAATTTTTATATAATTTAAAACATCAAAGTTCCATTTTATATTTTTCCTTCCAAAAAGGAGTCCTAGCACACTTAAGAGTCAATATAAGTAAACTTCTAAGGCCCTTTCTGTTCCTCATGCTATTGTTTATTTCGTTGTTCTTCCAAGGAGTTCTTTTAATCTCGAAAGTCTGTATTTCCTACTCTTAGTCAAATCTTGTTATTGTGTTAATATTTCCATTCAAATTCTCCATCTTGAGTTAACGATTCTAAATTCTGATAATGTAGCTGAGATACAACTACCCAATAGTTCTGTGAGAGGTCCCTATCCCTTGTTTGTGGTTGCCTGGGGTTATTTTGCATAATTAGATCCCTTAGTGTGTTTCAGAGAGTTTAGACAGACACTGGTTGGGAGTTCTGGAGTGAAGAAATAAGACACAAGGAAGCATCCACATAGAGTACTTAAACCTCCCTCATACCAATCTGGAGGAAAACCATATAAAAATATATAACCGACCTAAATAAGGTTATCATATTCTCATTGTATTCAGTACCATTTTTTCCCTTCTCCTATCTTTTCCCCACCTTCCAATATACCCAAGAAAATTGAAAAATTGTAATGGATCAATTTCAGATATTTTCTTTCCTAAGAGCTCTTTTGGCTGTTGTAATGTGTAGGGCCCTTCTCCTTGACAGGAGAGACTGGGAGTTGCCTGAATAGGTTGAAAGGTTATGTAAACAGAAATTACAATAAATGGGATACTTTGTGTCATGGCTTGTGTCTGGATGTCCCCTCCAAGGCTCCGAGGTGGTCATAAGTGGAGCTTTTCAGAGGTGGCTGGGGTGTGTGATGCTGGGATCAAGGATGCGATGCTGGGATTGATTCACAGTGTAAAGCTAGGATTAAGGGTGTGAGTGCTGCCTGCCGTTAGGGTGAGACATAAGGAACAGAAAGAGTAGTGGTCAGGACTTGTTGCTCGCTTGCTTTTGCTGCCTTCTGCCTGCCATGGACTGTTTCTCCTCTGTGATGCCCTCTGCCTTGGAGCCAGCCGACTATGGACTGAAACCTCTACAAACCATGAGCTAAATAAACCTTTCTTTCTTTAACTTTGGGTGTAGGATATTTTGTCTCAGTAATGATAAAAAGTAAGGCACTTTAAAAAAATACAAGTTCCAAATTAAAACTTCTGGGAGGGGCTGGGGGTAGAGCTCATTGGCTTGTGCCTGCCTGGCAAGTACAAGGTCCTGAGTTCAATCCTGGTACTGGAAAAAAAAGACTTCTGGGAAAGCTAAATTATATTTATTTGTCCAAATAAATACAAATAAATTTAATTATAGTAATATTAAAATAAATACACGTTTGTCCAAAATTAATTTTAAAAAAACCCAGACAAATGGAGAAGAAAGATTTATTAAATTGAAAGCATACAGGACATTTTACTCTGGACTCAAAGAAAATCTGCTATGTGTTACAAAAAGAAACAACTTGAAAGAATGTTCCTGAAGACAATGCAAAATTGCATTTCCTGAGGAAAACGAACAGTATTAAAAGAGTCAGTGGAAAATATTCTGACAATGACCAGGTAAAATGGCACATGCCTGTCATCCCAGCACTCGGGAGGCTGAGGCAGGAGGATTGCTGCCAGTTCAAGCCCAGCCTGGGCTACAAAGCAAGACCATGTCTCAAAAAACAACAAAACGAAACAAAACAAAAAGCCCCAAAAGATTCTGACAGTGCCCACACATACACACTCAACGTCAGGGCAGTCAGTTTATCAGTGATGGGCCAGATAGCTGGAAACCCTCTCCTGGAACCCCTGTCCTCACTGCAGACCGACAGCACTACAAGGCCATGGGCGCAGTATCTGGAAAGATGTGTGCAGCTGTGGCTAGGCCTTCCACTCAGGCTTTCTACCATTGCTTCAGTTGTATTGAGATTTATGACCTAAGGAGATCTTTTAATAACCTAACTTGGAGGAGGAGAGCCTTGAAAGGAAGGTTGGCAACAGAAGAGATGAGGTACAGTTTCCTCAGAGCCAGGTTTTGGAGCATGCTCTCAAGATAACCATAAAGGACAAGCTGACCCACCTGACAGCCCACCAGACCCTTTTTTTTGCCTAAATTCCTCCCCATACTGAGTTGCTTAGCCCAAAAGAGAAGTAAGAGAAGAATTTAACAGGACCAAGGTAAATAGGGAGAGAATCCAGCACTATTATTTTTGGACAAATAGTAAACCCACTTTTAAGTGAGCTAATTCAAAGATAAATAGAAAGAAAAACAAGAAAAATATGAAATCTATGCAAAAATTCTGTAGCATAAAAAAGGAAGTAATTTAAAAGACATCTATGTGATGGCAACATTTTGACAGAATTTATACCCTATGGAACAGGAGAAAATTCAGAAAATAATTGTCCTGTACTCTGAAGAAACTAAAGAGAATAAAAATTCTATGAAATGGGATTTAAAAATGTAAAAGATAATCAAAGACAAAATGATGCCACGAAAGCTAAAAATACCGCAAACCCAGAGGTTTCTCTGGCTCATGTTTTCAGTCCATGGTCAGCTGGCTCCAAGGCAGGAAGGGCTGGGCCTGGGCAAGAGAGAGCTGCTGGCCTCATGGCCCACAGGAAGAGAGAGAGAAGGGGAGGGAGAGCGCCTTCAGGCCACGCCCATCGCAACGCCTTTTCTGACCAGGCCCCGCCCCCTAACAGCAAGCCGGCTGTGAGCCCCAGAATCCAGTCACTTCCCAAAGCCTCACCTCTGAATACATGAGGCTTTTGGGGACACCCAGATCTGAACCATGCACCTTGATCCCGTGAAAAGTCTCTTAAAACTATGTTTGTGTTTATTCTGTCTTAGCCCAGCATTAAAGCTTAGTTCAATCTTCTCTATTCAAAATGTGCTTACTGAGCAGGTGCTACACATCCATGTTAAAGCATAGAGCATTTTATACAAAGTATTTCTAAATGCCTAATAGATGCATCTTTTATGAAGATCTTTTATAATTTCAGATAAACTTGAGAACAAAACCAGTAAATCACTGGATTCTACTGGCCATTTGGAAAATTCTGGAAATAGAAGGTATATCCTTTTGAGTTTTTGATCTTGTATTCTATTCACTGATGTTTCTACTAGGGTGAGCTCTGCTTGTGATTCACAGCAGATCAGAGTGAATTGATTCTGGCAGATTATTAACATGTCGTCCCGCGGTGCCCCCCAGTGAATGATCCAAGACTGCGCAGCCAGTAGGCAGCATGTCAAGGCCGTGGGCACAGCCAGGTGGAGAGAAGGATGGGAATAAACAGAGAAAGCAGTTAACCTCTGTAGGAGAGATACAGCTTTAATAACCACACTACCACAAGAATGTCAAAAAGTAGCTCTTTCACTTTTTGCATAAAGTTCTGAAATCCTGGCAATCTGGTGAATTTGAGGCTTTGTTTGGAGCAGTACTGAGCAGCTCGTATCTCCTCCCGAGACAGTACCTGGGGAGTCCAGGGTGAGGGGCTTCATGAGCTGTGGGCAGAGAGGCAAAGTCACATGACTGAGGTCCCGGGGTGGTGTCCTGAGCTCTGCCAGGGCCGGAGGCACCTGACCCCACTCCTGCAGGCACTTGGTCTGGGAGCACGTGGTCTGTTCTCTCAGCTTTGTTCTCCTCAGATGAAGCCGTCCATGCCCAGCAGTGTGAGCCTTTGCTACAGGTCACCTCATGCTATGTCCCGCATGAGGTGTTCCAGGACACCGAGAATGGAAACTGTCCCACCCTCTTAACCAAGCAGAGGCCACGTGGTCAGCTTGAAGCTACCCTGAAAGCTGAGGGAGGAGGTAGCCAGCGCCTTTGGGTTCTCTCAATCTACGCGATTCCCCCTCTCTCCTCTCCGAATCCACAGAGGCACCCTCGTGGCCTTCTTGCCTCCTCCCCTGCTGCTGCCGTTTGCTCCCACAAAGCCAGCAGGACAAGGTGGTACCAGGTTGACAGTCGTGTGGCAGGAAGATGGAGGCGTTGGCAGTGCATTTGGGGTATATGAGAGGCAGGCAAAAGCTAACAAGCAGAGATCAGCTCCGCAAACAGTTCCTGTTTGCTTTCAGAAGAAAATATCCTCCTCCGGTGAAAGTTTTGCATACAGACAAAAACCAGCCAGCCATGGAAGACCAGCTCAGTCAGTGTTGTTCGGCAAGAAAGGACAGCTTGCTGCCCCTGTGCTTTGAGGATGAACTGAAAAATCCAGATGCCAAGGTCATCCATGTGACTCCGGCAAGGAGCGAACCTTCTCACAAGGTAACAACACCTGCTGTTGTCCAGTGAATGCCAAGCCTCTGGAAGGCTATCTAGGAGGGCATCACCCCAGTGCAGCCCAGCCTGTGCCCCACGCTGTGGGGAAATGATATCTTCTTGTTTTGTTTTGCAGTGCTGGTGACTGAACTCAGGACCAATGCACTAAGCTACAAGCCTAGCCTTTTTTTTTTTTTTTTTTGAGAAAAGTTCTTGTTAAATTTCCAATTAGGCCCACATTTGTGATCCTCCTGCCTCAGCCTCCCAGAGTACTGGGATTATAGGCATGTGTCATCGCACATGGTGGAGATGATGCTTTCCAAGACCTTGGTCCTGGCACCCTCAGCAGAACAGTTTCCATGAGCCCTGCTTTTCCACAGTTCCCGCTTTTTCTGAACTGAGGACTCCCCACAGGGCAGGGGTGGCAAACTCACAGTGTGAGTGCCACAGCAGGCCCTATCACTGGGAGCTCCAAAAGGCTCACCATCTCTGCCGTGGGCATCTGACTGGCACAGCATAGGGCGCTTGCCTGTGAACCACGCCCAGAGGCCGGCAGGGACAGTTTCTGCCCCAGTGTGAGGCCAGAGAGCTGTCAGGAGGAAAATTCTGTGTGGTATTGAACGGACCAAAAATAGGAAAATCTTCCACTCTGTAGCTAAATGATATTTTGATCGCCAGTGGTCTCTAAAACTAGATCTTTGCTCATTTTTTCAGTGATTGTAGGCATTAATGTACCTTTCATACCAGAATACTGTGTACAATGATCCTGATTTCTTATTTCACTACTTACATTTTAAAAGAAAAAGTGAAAATTATTGACTTAAAATTTGCAAACTAAATCATAATAATACGCATATTGCCAGTGTTTTTGGAGTTAATCTTTTTATCGCCAGCAAAAAGTAGAGATTGTGAAACTAACAGTGGAAACACAGGAAAAAGCTTGAAAAGCAGCTCCTACAAACAGATTTTGTTATTACTGTGATTAAAACATGATCAGTTTTTAAGTCAGTCTATCACTTTGGCTATTATATTCCACAGATATATATTGAACACTCATGTGCCAAGTATTGTGCTAAATTCTGGGGCACAATAATAAGTAATAATTCTGGGGCACAATAATTATTATGGAGATAATTTTAAACTTTTAAATTATGCACTACAGTGTCCGAACACTGAAATTTTGGTGTGTAGTCATGTATGTTCATTTTGAGCTTTGACTCAGTCCGTATTTTGGAGGGGGATATGCTTTGTTATTTCTGGAGCATGCAGATCTAAGAAATGCTGGCACAATGTTCCATTCTACCAACTGTCTTGTAACTCAAACATTTAAGAAATGCATTTATTTCAAAAAAGACTTAAGAAGGGCAAAGGTTCAAATTTGATGCCCTAACACCTGTATAGAATATTGAGAAGGTAGGGCCAGATATGGTGGCACATTCCTGAAGTCCCAGCACTTGGGAGGCTGATGCAGGAGTATTGCCATGAGTTCAAGGCCAGCCTGAACTATGTAGTAAGCCTGTCCCCCCCCAAAAAAATTGATAAGGATTTATATTACATACAAGTGACTTGGTTTTGTGTATTTGAATACTACTGTTTTTCATATTAAATACCCATGTAGTCATTTTTAGAATATTTTACAATTTTATTTTCATGTTTAAAAATACAAGTAACTTTCTTGCCTCAATAGATTTATGACTAAGTACTCTTTCCTTTAATCCATAGGAACAAAATGACAGGAACCCCATAATTTTCCATGATACACAATATATACAAACATTAATTTTGACAAAAAACAGCTTTTCTGCCCACATTTTGGAAAATGAAGAAATTTATCCATGTAAAAGGACAAATTTTGTTTTAGAAAGAAATTGTGCAATCCTCAAATCTTTAATTAATGATGAATCTATTACTCTTTCCAAACCCCCAAAAACAATGCTCACAACAAGGAGAAAAGATATACGAGCCAGATCTTAGGAAATGGGCCACTGAACCGTAAAGAATAAACTAAAGAAGAAAACGAAGACTCAGACATTAGAAAACAGATCTTGGAGTACACTTCATAATTCCTCACAGGCTCTTTCCAGCTTAATGAAAACAGCTGTGGATTACCTTGATAAAATTGTTACTCAAGAAAGAAGTGCTACAGCTGTCAAGTTTGGAAGAATACATTCTATGGTGAAACCAACAACCCCACGCAAATTAAGTGCCTTACCTCCCAAAAGTTATTCAAAGCCTTTAAAAAATATACTCGATGTACGTAAATTAAATAATGCAACACCGCTGGATGATTTTTTACATATGTCAAAAGAAAATTAAATGACTCCCAAAATTTTATCTACGCAGCAATATTTGGGTGACAAGAGGCAAACAACCAAGTTCCACAATCTAGAAGAAGTTCTGATCCAACTAGTAATGTTCTGATGGGTGGTGTAAGAAAGAGTGGCCTGTCAACAGTAGATTCATCCAGATTCATCAGTCATCATCATTCCTACAGTGAAGTCTGAATCACAAGCAAACAGTGTAGACAAACTGGAAATTTGCTGTTGGAAGCTGAATAACAACACCAATAACCTTGTTCTGTAATTGGCTAACAGAAAAGATAAATATCATGTACTTAAGAAATGTGGAGTTAATTGTATAACAGTATTTTATAGAATCATGGGGAAACAGTATGACATTAGCAACTTATGCCATTAAAAATGCTTTGTAAAATTTTGAGTGGCATTTTTTTTTTGTTAGAGTTTTTAGAACTTCACTGTTATATATTAAAAATACATTATTACATTCCTGTTCTGCTGTTTCTCATTAACTTGCCATTAACTCAAATAATATAAAGGCAGAATTCACCTTAGCAATAAGTTATAGTTCAAAAACTCATTTGTAATCCATTTCTTTGGAATTCAGAATCTATTCCACACAAAAATCATCCTGGGGCTACTGGGGGTGTAGCTCAGTGGTAGAGTGCTTGCCTCGAATGTACAAAGCTCTGGGTTCAATCTCCTGCACAGGAAAAAATATCTTGGAACCCACAAAAAGACTACTTAACTTACAAATTTATCTTATACAGTTTTTCTGAAAATAGAAAAAGTGATGATTTTTAAATTCCAATAATTAAAAAAAAATAAGAAAATGATTTTTTTCATCTTAACCTTCAGGACTTGTGGAGAAGCAGGTTGGGTTAGAAGCACCTAGTCCACGGATGGCGAACCTATGGCACACATGCCACAGCAGGCTGTCTGTATCACTGAAAGCTCTCAAAGGTTCGCCATCACTTATTTAAGCTAAGGGATGGCTGGGGGGTGAGCAGGTGAGCTGCTTCTGTTATCGTGAGGTGGATGCAGGTGATAGACTCCAGGCCCTTGCATACCACAGGCAAAGAATTGCAAAGCGTTCCCCCAATGGCAGGGGGAAAACAGAGATCATGGGAAGATGTGCTCAGGGAAAGTCTGCACAGAAAAGTGGTGCTGGGACGGTAGGGAAGGAAAAATCACTTCACACAGACCAATCAGCCTTTCAGAATCTGCACGATTCGCACTCCAGCCTGAGTGTCTCCCACTGGGACTTGGGGTAAGATGGACAGGAATGACTGACAAGTTTCTGTGTCACCTCAGGGGCTCTAACACAGAATCCACTGTGACCTTAATTGCGTGTATGAGATAATGCGCATATTCATGAACCTTTAGTGAGGTTTGAGTAGAGCAAAGGTGACTGTAGGTCAGGCCAGGAGATCTAAGTCTGCTCTTGGCTGGTCTTCAAAGATTTCCTGGCTTTTTGTTATGTTATTTTCTGCCTCTCTATGGACAGTGGACAGAAGAATGGCCCTAGTGTTCTGTCCAAACTCAAGTGGGTGGAGGGGAGTGATTTCTTCAGCTCTGCTGTTCTAACTGTGCTAAACCAGTTTCAGCCAATCACAAGTGGCCAGGTTTCAACCAATCATAGGCAGCCAACCCAGGACACCATATCCATATAAAGCAAGTGCCTCATGACACTTTGCCCCAGGAAGGCAGATGCCTTCGTGTGATTTCTCTGCGTGGCTTCCACATTCAGAAGGAACAGCAGTGCTTGGTAAATATCTGCATGCTGCAGACTCAACTGTTCCACTGGTTGAGCGACCGACCCGACACTTGGAGACTCAGGCAGTACAGTGCCCCCCAGTTCCATGTACCTCTCACGCCTGAGCCCCGCTGTCCCAACAGCTCAAACTGTGTAACGATGGCCATTCCCCTACCTGCTGCTCTACCTCTCAGGAGCTTTCGAATCTGAGTTGGAAGGGCAGGGATTATTTTCTAGCCCCTCAACACCAACACAAATCTTCCACTGTTTTTACCCCAAAGCTTCTTGTCAAATATGATTCCATCACATCACACGATATGCAAGATTTTAAAAGATCATTCAGTTGATGCTTCCGGAGATGGGAAAGTAGCTCTGTGTCTTACTTATGATCTTTGGATCCCTGGCATCTGACACGGCCACGGGCCCACTGTGAATGCGGATGGGGGGACAGGGAAAACCACCAGGATGATTACAGTCACTTGCATGTCAGCAACCTTCCCTTGCTTCCTGTACAGCACATGTGTGGAACTCAGACTGTAGTGTCCTGCTGTGTCTGAGTGCAGGGCGTCACATGATCCCACATCCACCACAGCGCCCTACTTGTTCCATTCTTGGAAATTTAATGTGGGTTACTTACCCAGAAAGAATGCCCAGAAAGAAGAACGAAGAGACCACCTGGTAAAGACTGAGGCAAAATTTCCTTACCTTTACCATTCTGTAGGCTACACATCTGGACACTTCCTGCTACGTAGAGAAATAGGTCCTTGTCATAAAGAATCCACTTGTCAAAAATAGGCTTTTGAAAGGAAAGTCTATCCTAGTGGACAGGGACTAAAATCAGGAGATTCTAACAGCTAGCTGGGAAAAGCGAGTTTATCACATCCATGTGTGGATGGGCTGACATTGGGAGGGAGATAGTAGCGGCTAGATGGGAGAGATTTCATCCATGAGCGAATAGGTTAACACCAGGAGAGAGAGAGAGATATTAGCAATGAACTGGGGAGAGAATTAGGCTTACACAGGTATTGAAGGGGCTAAGGGATCTGGAGTGAAATATTTATGATTTGGCTGCCCAAGGACGGTCTGCTTAAGTGTGTGCGCAGTTCCTGGACTTCTCAGCGCCGGGGGGCCGTATACTACATTTTGAGTCCACTTGTCCTATTTACTGAAAAGTTGCTGTTGTTTGCTGAAAGCAACCTGTTTGCTTTGTTCTGTTGGTTTACGGCAGGCCTGACAGTCCTCAGCATATGAAGTTAAATATACAAGGTGTGATTAAAAATATGGTGAATGTTTAAACAAAAATAATTTATGACAGTAAAACCCATCGCCATGAACCACCCCCAAAATACCCCATCTGGCTTCAAACACATTTTTCCAATCATTCTTGCCACTTTCCGATAGGCAATCAATTGAAAACTTTGAAGTTATATTTTCTAATGTAGGGAAATAGACTGGATCTCTAGAGATTAATTGTACCTGTTTTGTTACAGACAAGAATGCTTTGAACTGTTACTGGTTTTCTCAAGTTAACCTTTCTAAATAGCCAGTCCAAGGCACACATTCCTGTAGACTTAATTCATCGTGTGCCTGTCCATTTCCAATCCTCCACTAAGATATGCCATAATCATTCTCTTATTTCTGAATAAACATTTCCCTTCTGCCCAGAAGCCGCTCAGATATTTAAAGACACCACAGATAGCTCATTTTTCTCCGAAAGTCAGGTGCCCAGAGTCCCACAGGTGTGTATGAAGAGAAGGGAATTTTATTTCAGTACCCAAAGGGAAAATTGAAACCAGTCATTATTAAAGCCGATTGGATAATATTAACAATGAATCCTGCTTACTGCCTATTTCACTCTAAAGAATTCCTTCATTATAAACATTATCTGCCCAGAAAAGAGGTAGGATTGTGCACGTTTGGCTATAGCAGTGAGGCAAGATGAAAGAGGAGAACTAATCAGACCAGTAGTGTGCGACAGCAGACTCCTGAGCAGCATTTGTCAGCGTGCCTGCAGAGAGACAACAGTTCATCTGATCCAGTACCACATGTTTTTGTGAACAATTAAGTTTGAACATAAAATACGGGCTTTCTGTGTCAGATATGAACTCCCCGTTCAGGGGGCTCTCATTGCAATCGATGCCTCTGAAGACTTTTCTGTTTCATTTATTTGCCTTTTTTCTCCTGGCACCCTTATTAGTTTGCTCTTTGACTCTTTCTGTTCTTTTTGTTTTTGTTTTTGTTTTTTTGCTTAGAGATTAAAAGGGTCTTGAAAACCTTCAGAGACTAGAGTGGTCTGATACAATGTGCAGTGCAGAGGTCCTGTATCTCTGCTGTTAGCCTCGTGTGGCTATGAAGTACTTCACATGTTTGCAGGGCAAGGACACTGAGCGGATGCTTATTTGCCTCTGATGGCATCAGAGAGAAAATTCCTCTTCCACGCTGAGAGGCCTTTGTGCTGTTATCCCTTCCAACTTCAAGCCTGTTCCTTCTACTCCTTGGCAATCTTACTTACTCCTCCTATCAGTCCGTGTTGGCTAGAAAAACAGATATAACACAAGATATACCAATACATAAGAATTTACAAGATTGGCTCCTAGTGGCTGCCCACAGAGTCAGAAGAGGAAGAGTGAAGAGGGTCCATCTGCACACAGGAGACCGAAGGATTCAGTTGGAGGCCCGGAGCTCACTGCAGTGCCCCGACCATATCAGGAGGGTCTGTGATGGAGGCTGAAGAGTCTATGACGGAAGCTGAAGGATCTGCACTGGGAGCCAGGAGATGACATCCAAGGAGAAGGCAAAGGCTGGAGCGCCTCTGAAGAAACAGAAGCAAGCAGATCTTCCTTCTTCATTTCCAGCCGCCCGAGGGTGGCTCTTCCCTTGCGTGTGGATTGCTGAGCCAAAGCAGTGGAGCTTCTCTTATTCAAGTTGGCACAATCAATCGAGCACCACACTCCTGTTGACTTCCCCTCACGCACTCCTCCGTGGCCACTCCCACTCTCCTTCCTTCCGGTTCAGGTTCACAGGCTCCCGGAAGCAAAGCAACACCAGCTGCAACTGTTCTGATGTGGTCACCTTCTCGGGTAGTTCAGTTTACTTCAGGTCTTCAGTTCCCACGAGGATAACGGAAAGCACTGGTCAACTCTGAATTCCTCCACGCAGTGAGAAAATCAAAATAGATTACCCGTCTACACAGACCTAAGGCAGGGAGCTAAGGATAGTGGAAAGAATACTGAATGAATATACAAGAGGCCAGGGCTCTGCAGCCAGTTCACGGTTGCCTGAGCAAAGACCCCCAACCTTCCCAGACCTGGATTCCCTACCTGGATTCCTTGGATGGAGAGCTCTGAATTTCCTGCATGCCAGAAAGCATTTTGAATGTTGTTTTCTAGATTTGAGATGACCATTCCAGGTCTAGACCTTTAAGATTCTACCTCCTTCCTCTTTGCTAGTCAACTTTTTAAAAGTAATGTGTTTGCTGTGTGCCCTCGCTGAGCTACCTGCTGGAAGTGCAGTGTGATTAGAAATTCAAGTTTTCTCTTGTTGGCAATAGACTCAGTAATGTTATGCATACAGTAAAAATGTACTATACATTTTTTTGACAGGAA